ATTTTTTTTTTTTTCAACTAAATTTGTTTTTTTTTTCAATTTTATTTTAAATTTTTCCCCCCCCCCCCCCCCCCATTTTATTTTATCATAGTTTTTTATGTTTATTTTTTTAATATGTATTGTTTATATTAATTTAAAATTAGTTTTAGTTATAATTATTTTAGTACATTACGTTGGGAAATTAATAAATGTTGCCTTGGCAATTAGTTGAAATGTAATAAGTTATTTATTTATTTTCCAGTTAAATCTTATTGTATTGTTTTCTTTGTAATTTTAGTTGAGGTTTGAGTAATTTTGTTAAAATATTAACTGAAAATATATTTTGTTTAAGTTAAAGGGGTCATATGATGCTGCTAAAAATGAACATTATTTTGTGTATTTGGTGTAATACACATACTGTACATTATTGTTTCTCCTCTATGCCCCGCCTTTCTGAAACGCGTCGATTTTTACAAAGCTCATCGGTCTGAAAAGCGAGGTGTGCTGTGATTGGCCAGCTATCCAGTGCATTGTGATTAACTGAATTCCTCAAGCGTGAGACGGAAATGTTACGTCCCTTACCATACTGTGATGCCTGCGGCAACCACATGTGACGACCCCGGGCTGGACTCCGCTTCGTCCACGGTGAAAGCCGATCCGGCGATCCACAGAGCGAAGTTGAAGTATGTTAGCGACCAGCATGGATCAGCTCCAGGCATGACGAAGCAGATATCGTCCTCTTTTGGAAGGCCAAACAAAGTAGTTTCGCTTTCACAACGAAGCACACAGCGTCTTCACGACATGGCGGTGGCAGCAACAATACTACAGCGAGAATAAAAGTTATGCCTTCTTTCTTTGTGTGAACATTTGGGCAGCGTTATGCAAATCTTCCCACATAGTGAGGTAGATATGTGGGGGTGTGTTAGAACGAGCCGTTTTAGGTAGGTGTGGCTGACTCTTAACTTTTATAAAGAATATCTCTTTGGATTTGAGACTTTAGTCTTTGCAACTTTACAGATCTTCTTTATGCACCAAGAGCTTGTAACACTCTAAAGAGAAAGGAAAAATTGAAATAGCGTCATATGACCCCTTTAAAGTGTATTGTATGTCGATTGATGGAAAGTTTTAAGTTTTAGTTAACTATAGTAACTCACAATTCTGCTTGATTGTATATAGTTTACTTGTCTAATTTCTTTGAAAATGTTTTTAATGCCAACCTGGCAAATCCAGTCTGTTTTATAATATATGTTTGTTTTGAACTCAAGTGTTTCATAATATGAAGCTGTTTTTGCACCGATGTGAAGTGTTTGTCCTCCCTGATAGCCTCCAGTCTTCTGGGAAGATGTTTAGATGTTGGATCTGGACTTTGGGAGGGAATTGCTCCCAGAAGAGTACGAGTTCAGTAGAGGTTCAGGTCTGGGTTTAATACAGGTCAACCAAGTTCTTCCTCACAGACTATATGGACGTCACTCTGTGTCACGCTGGAAGAGAAAAGGATCCTCCCTGAACTCTTGCCACAAATCTGAAAGCACACAGTGTCTCTAAAATGACATTTACTAACCTTTCATTAAGATTCATCCACACTGGTAGACACACAATTCCCCCCTTGTAGTGTAGATTTAATTAGTAAAATATTTGATCCAAATCAGGGGTTTTCTTTGTTCTATAGGTTATTTTATTCATATATAAAGAATTTTTAATATTTTATTTCTTGAAAATGTAATTATATTGTGATGTATCACCCATCACTGTCTCATCTTTCACGTGTGTGTGTGTGTGTGTGTGTGTGTGTGTGTGTGTGTGTGTGTGTGTCGTCCTCAGAGCTGCACGAGAAGGACTACGGCGGACAGAAAGCCATATACTGGGAAGTGAAATATCCATTACCTCTGTCCAACAGAGATGTATCCTACAAACACACTTCATGCTCCGACAAATACAGTGTGTGTGCGGGAATAGACAGATTCATGTAAACTCTGACCAGTGTCTGAAAATAACATCTCTCCATTTATAATAATATTTCATTCAAATAAGTCTAATAAATAAATCTTCAGTCTTCAGTGTCACATGATCCTTTAGAAATCATTCTAATATACTGATTTGCTTCTCAGTTATTTCTGGTGTTCAGTTATCAATAATGGTTCTTATTATCAATGTTGCAAACAGTTTTTTGCTGTCTAATATTTTTGTTAATGTTCATTTTTTCAGGTGTTCAAAAGCACAGCATTCATTTGAAATGTAAATAATTTCTAACATTATAAATGTATTTACTGTCACTTTTGATCAATGAAATGCTTCCTTGCTTAAAAGTAAACTTTTGAATAGTTTTCCCAGACAAATATGAGGCAGCACAACTGTTTTCAACATTTTTTATGGCTTTAGTTATAGTTTTAGTTGACGACAGTAACCTTGCTTTAAACAGGTCCTGGGTGAGGCAAAACGATTGATATAATGTGTTTTTATTTTTTCTGTCTTCTGCTTTGCCTTTAAATGTATTTTCATCCCTCCTCTCTCTCGCACCGTAAATGATGACGTTTCATAAGTATTTGAACACACGTGTTGTTAGTGTGTGGTAAATGTCCTGCTGTATATTATCAGGGTCTGTTGTGTACATTTATATGGTAAATCAGTTTCATCATTGCAGGTTGAAGCTTATTGTGACAGTTTTGGCAGTGTAATTATGTTTGGAGTAATTGTGATCCTGTTAATACCAACCTAAAGAGCGACTCTCGCTGCAAATTTAAATGAAATCATATTTTGTATGAAAACATTGTCCATTTAGGACTGCGTTTTCACACGTTGACAATATTTTCAGGACCATTAAGTACATTTCACTTGCAAAATCTTATTACTGTAAGTTTTTGTGGATATTTTATTTTTGAGTTTGTTTATAATGCTTATTTTCAAAGGTGAATCTCATTAGATTCTCATTAATATTATTATTTCTTAATTGTCAGAAATTAAAGGAAGAAAAGCCAGTTACGCATGCTGTATAAATACTGTACTATTTAAATGATAGATAGATACATCTCCAAAACTCCTTAGCAAACCCCTAGAATACCTTAGCAACTGCACAGCAATACCTAGCAACCAGCCAAAACACCTTAGTAACTGCATAACAAGGCACTAGCAACCACTCAAACACCTCAGCAAACCCCTAGAATACCTTAGCAACTGCACAGCAATGCGTAGCAACCAGCCAAAACACATTAGTAGCCACCTAGCAACCACCTAGACGACCTTAGCAACTGCACAGCAATGCCTAGCAACCAGCCAAAACACCTTAGTAACCGCCTAGCAACCACCTAGAAGACCTTAGCAACTGCATAGCAATGCCCTAGCAACCAGTCAAAATACTTGAGTAACAGCCCATAATATATTAATGTAATAAATTATTTTTTTCCAGTTTGTGCTGTCATGAAAATAATGTCAAAACCTTAAAATGGTCCTTTAAATATGCTTAATATATACAAAATATATTTTGTTCTATTTTCGTTTTATTCTGAGGTTAAATGTAACCTTGTCAGGCTCTGTGAGATCGACCCTTGTGAATGTGTTTCTTGGCCGAGTTCTTAATGCATATGTGTCCATTTGAGCTGGAGGAAACAATGAAACTGAAGCTGAGATGTTTGAGATGGTCTATATTTGTCCCACATCTGATCCCTGAATGCTGCTCTTGAATAACATCAGGTACTGCACTGCTTCTTTCCACCGGCTGTCCTTCACCAGTGCAAGGCAAATATATTTCTTGGCCAGCTGTTGTATTTCTTCTGATTGGTCATATACAGGACTAATTAGCTTCAGAAAGTGATACACTTCTCTCGGTCTGTCTGAAAACCTCCTCTGATTCCCCAGGTGCCCGTCTGTCTGAACAGACGCTCCTCTCAGAAACTTTCCCGTCTGCAGCTTTTGTGATTCTTAATAGATTACAATTAGAGATAGAGGGGCCTCTGGGAACCGGCATCCTGATGCTGAATAGGCTTTTATGTTTTTTTTTTTTCTACAGCATCATGCGCATGTAGTGAGTTTTGATGGAGGTTATAATTGCAGACGTTACCTGGCGCTGCGTCTGGCCCCTCTATCTGCAGCCAAGAAGCCCCTGAACTCAAGGTTAGGTAATTATTTTCATAAGCATATGCTTTGCATTGTTGAAATCTTAACCGCTCTGGCGTCGAGGAGAGTCCAGGATCTGCTGCCAGTTTATAGGAGTCCAAACAAAGTGTTTCTGCAGGTAACTCCTTTGGATTTGTGCTGGGATTTATTAGAGAAGCTACATAAGAAAGTATACTGGAGTTGTTTATTATTATTATGGGCTCAAGAGAGTAAGAAAAACTTTATATTGTTAATGTATTTGTAGAACTCACTGACATGTTGCAATAGGGTCTTTTTAAATGGTTGCTAGAGCTTTGAAATACAATTGTCAAAGTATTCTGCTTAACTACCCATAGCTTTAACTAATTGGTTAGCGATGCGTAATACGTTTTTAGACACATTATGGATGCTAGGGTGTTCTGGGCAGTTAAGTAGTTGCTAGGGTGTTCAGGGTGGTTGTTAAACAGTTGCTAGGGTGTTCTGGGCAGTTAAGTGGTTGCTAGGGTGTTCAGGGTGGTTGTTAAACAGTTGCTAGGGTGTTCTGGGCAGTTAAGTGGTTGCTAGGGTGTTCAGGGTGGTTGTTAAACAGTTGCTAGGGTGTTCTGGGCAGTTAAGTAGTTGCTAGGGTGTTCAGGGTGGTTGTTAAACAGTTGCTAGGGTATTCTGTGCAGTTAAGTGGTTGCTAGGGTGTTCAGGGTGGTTGTTAAACAGTTGCTAGGGTATTCTGTGCAGTTAAGTGGTTGCTAGGGTGTTCAGGGTGGTTGTTAAACAGTTGCTAGGGTATTCTGTGCAGTTAAGTGGTTGCTAGGGTGTTCAGGGTGGTTGTTAAACCACTAGTAGTAAACTGAATGCGTTTTAAATACATGGTGACCAGGTTTATAAATCCAGTTTCAATCTCATACGTTTTAACTAATTGAATATGGAAAACAAAGTGTTTCCGCAGGCAACTCATTTTGGATTTGTGCTGGGATTTATGAGAGAAGCTACATAAGAAAATATACTGGATTTGTTTTTTATTAGTAATATTATTATTTTGGAATCAGAGAGTAAGAAAAACTTTCAATACTTCAGGATCGATCGGCCCATCCGTAACGTTGAACACTTTTGTTGATTCTGATTTCTGAGTATATGCATTTTGAAAACACAATTATTTGTTGTTATTCATATTTATGAATGCATGACTGGCAAATATGCATCACATTGTATTATACAAGTTTACTAATGTAAATAAAAAGCTATGATCCAAATGCATAAATCTTAAATTTAGGCCCTAATATTTTTTTGAATGAATTGAGAATGCCTTATAAAGCATAATAATCTTCTTCCTCCAGAAGGGGACGTCAGAGTCACTCTCGGTGTTTGTATTTGACCATCTAGTGCAGGGATCCACTTTCCTACAGAGTTTAGCTCTAACCCTAATCGAGCACACCTGAGCATGCTAATCAATGTCTTCAGGATCATTAGAAAATCACAGGTAGCTGAGTTTGATCAGGGTTGGAGCTAAACTCTGCAGCGCATTGGACCTCCAGGGTAAGATTTGAGGAACCCAGATCTAGTGTGTTTTTCTCTCTTTTTTTTGTTTGCGTCGGTCATTTGAGATGTGCCACTAGATTCATTTTCTCCCGTGTCTCCTCTGTAAATACATAAGGCAGAGAATATAAGAGCTGGCATGCCATCTGATTGCAGCTATTTGCAGTGATTACAGCAGAATGTCTCTGTCCTCTAAACCCTGCAGGACTGAGCCCGCAGGGAGCCAATACCTCCATTATATCATTACTCCTGCGGCCGGAGAAAACACCAGACGACTGGTTTTACTTAGAGCCCCGACCGCAGCCGTCTGCTACTGTAACGCCTTACTGCAGCACACGGGAAAATCTCACTCACGGCTCAAGTGTTTCTACAAGAGCACAGTGAGATTAAGTGGAGGAGTCTCATATGTCTCAGATGTGTCTCCTGGGAAAAAGACCCTCACATGTGTCTCCTTGAGTTTCAGAAGTGTGCATTCAAAGGTCAGAAATCTGAGTTTGAACGCAAATGTTTCTTAGAAACATCTGAGACAAAGTTGATGCTTAAAACATTTGAGAATGAGTAACCTTTGATAAATAATATTTTCCTCTGTGTTAAATGCATATACTAAAAAAATTGACTTCCGCCACTGTGGACAGTATTTTTTATTTATAAATCATAAAGGATGACATTAAAATCAGTAGTGATTTTGGTAGTTAAAGTTTCTGTTATCATTTACTCACTCTCACATCGACTTTCTTTACCATTAAAATGAAAGAATGTGGGGTCCAAAACATAACTTTGGACCCCAGTGACTTCCATTGTGTGGACCAAAAATCCTTCAGGCAAAATATATTTTCTTTTTTTTTTAATATGCAAAAAAAGAATATAGCGTTTACAAGCACAAATATTACATTACATTACATTTACATTTAATCATTTACCAGACGCTTTTATCCAAAGCGACTTACAAATGAGGACAATGGAAGCAATCAAAATCAACAAAAGAGCAATGATATGCAAGTGCTATATCAAGTCTCAGTTAGCTTAACACAGTACACGTAGCAAGGGTTTTAAAAAATATATAATAATAAAAAGAAAACAGATCGAATAGAAAAAGAATAGAGCAAGCTAGTGTAAGAGGTCTTTTTTGCTTTTGTTAATTGTATAATAAATGAAAAGAAAACAGATAGAATACAAAAAGATTAGAAAGCAAGTGTTCTTATTTAAAACAAAATGTTTTTTTAATTTTTAAGAAAACAAGCAGCAAATGAATAGAGTGCAAGTCTAAAAGGGACATTTTCAAATAATAGAATTAGAATAGAGAGTGCTAGAGTTAGAGGGTCAAATAAAGATGGAAGAGATGTGTTTTTAGCTGATTCTTGAAGATGGCTAAGGACTCAGCTGCTCAGATTGAGTTGGGCAGGTCATTCCATCAGGAGGG